TGTACAGTAACATGTTAGAGCTCTGTGTTGTACAGTAACATGTTAGAGCTCTGTGTTGTACAGTAACATGTTAGAACTCTGTGTTGTACAGTAACATGTAGAGCTCTGAGTTGTACAGTGATGTTTGAACATGAAGCTGTTGTGTTAACAGTGTGTTTACACACCTTCAGGGGGGCTGTAGGTTGTGACTGTAGGTGTTTCCTGTGGAAATATAAGAACATTAAAGTCAGAAATGTTAAAAATAAACAGAACATGACTCAGCAGGTTTCTCTTACCTCTTCTTCCCAGTCGTCCATGTTTAACTTTACCTAAAAAACAGATTAAAAACAGATAATTAATCACATTTACTGTTGATGAAACTCATTAAATGTAAAATATGTCCATTAAAAGATGATAAATCAAAGGTTCATGTATATTTAAAGGTTTTATAACTTTAAAACATGTTTTTATTTTTGACAGGGTCACCGTGCTTCAAAGCTAACCAGCAGAAGCTATGCTAAGCTAACCGCAGCAGCGACACGTGCTCTTCAACCACACCAGCTCTGACTTCCGGACCGAACACCACGGCTCAGCACCAACAGAACCGAGCCTGGTTCGGTCCAACCTTTGACCTTTACCCCCCTCAGCCCGCAGTGAGCTGACCTTGAGGAGCAGCACGTCCCTCGGTCAGACGGAGCCTGCAGCTCCGCCGCCATTAAAGGACGGGAACACGTGTCTTTTAGACCCTCCAATCTAATAAATACAACTTTAATCACACATTAATACTCTGTTTTTAACTTTTATAATTATCCTGCACGAGTCTGAACCGAGTCATCAGTTTTAACAAGCTAACCACGTGCGCACAGACTGTTAGCTAACTTAGCTAAMCTTAATGTAGCGACAGTATTACCCGGAAAATAAACCACTATCATTAAAGATAACGTTTTACTTGTTCAACTTCTCATTAAACCGTCTTTGTGAAGTTAAATACCAAACAAAAATTAATCTAATTACTTAAAACATGTTAGATATTTTATATTAAATTAGATAATTTCCCACAGTTTGCGTCAGAAATCTGTTAAAAACAACCTGTTAGACTTTAATCCAGATTACGGCCTGTTGATGAGGTTAAAACGTGTTAAATTAATCCCACCTGATGGAGGCTGTGTGCAGGTAGAAGATGTTAGCGGAGCTGTGAGGGTCGCTGCAGGGCAGAGTCTGACCTCACAGGACAGCTGAGGGYTGCCAGGTCTGCTGCTGTCCCCCTGCACCGCCTCCTGTCAGGAACAACAACAAATACAACTAATTTAAATTATACCTGCGGTCTAAATCTTCATTTATAAAGTTAATATTTATTTTCACATAACAGAGCTCTGAATTATGTTTTTTATCCCTAAATGAAACACTTTACAGTTTTAGTGAAAAAGAGCAGGACTGTTTTATCTGGCAACTCACCCCGTCTGACTCCGCCCTGAAAGGTGCGCATGCGCAGAAAACACAGCCTGTTGTTCACGGTTTTTACACAGATTTATGTGTTGTTGCAGTTTCACGTTGTGATATCAGGCATGAAAATAATTAAAGATGTGAAGCATTAGTACATTAGTACATTAGTACATTAGTACATTAGTACATTAGTACATTAGTATGTGTTGGTGTGTTGCTGTTGTAACTTTTACATTTTTAACTTTATTTACAGTAACTTTCCACACAGACACACAACAACATCTCTTCAGAACATACAAACACTTTTCTATGAACACAACTTCAGCTACTAGCTGTCTCTATGCTACTTTTGATTTATCGCCATCAGTTAGCATTTTTAGCCTTTAGCTATGCTTTTGCTCCTGTAGCTTTTAGAGACTGTTCCAGTTTTACTACTTGGAGCTAACCAATTGTTATTTTRTTTCTAGCTACATAGTTTGCTACTTTTAGCTAGATTTTTACCGTTATATCACATATTCTGCTTTAGCCAATGTTTTTAGTCTTTAGTCAGCTTTGTTTGCTTTAGCTTTTATTTAGACTATTGCTAGTTATAGCTTTTAGCTAGCCTTTTGCTCCTTTAGCTATTACTGAGACTTGAGCAGATTTTCTACGAGTTAGCCATTCGCTGCTGTTAGCTTTTGGCTAGCCTATCTGCCACTTTTATTTTAGCCATTATTTTGCCACTTCTACTTTTTGTGGTTTTATTTGGGTTTTTTGTCGTCGTCGTCGTCGTCGTCATCGTTGTTTTTGTTGTTGCTGTTGTTGTTGTTGTTGTTGTTTAGTTAGCATTATATTTAGCTTTTAGCAGGAGCTGTGTTTGCTTTATTTATTGCCAGTTTTAGCTCTAGCTAGCCCTTTGCTGTGTTTAGTTTCCCAGCAGTTTTGTTGAGTTTTCTGTGTTTCTGATGATGTGCAAAAAGAAAAACAGAACTACAGTACAACACACTGAATAAAGGAAAGTTGTCTTATTTTGTGTAAACTGAGAGAAATGTTTGATTCAGTGAAAGAGTTTGATTTGTTCAGAAGCTAAAAGAAGAATCTCTGTCACAGAGCAACAGTCAWACAGCTGATTTATGAATGTTTCTGAGTTTATTGACTTTTTAAATCWGATCTGCCTCAKGAGCGCCCCCTCTGGTGGTGGAACACATTATTCCTGAGGACAAAAGTAAAAGATTTTCTGTTTCTTAATTTTTACTAACTTATGTTTTAGTTTTAAAGGAAGAAAATAATATAATTGGTTTGACATTACATGAATTTGTTGTATGAAATGACAAAACATGACCATCTGCTTTCATTTTCTGTTGTTAAAAGGAAAAATGACCAAATTGCACCAACATACAGTATAACTAAACCTTCACACTGGTTAAAAACATCCCAGACAGTTTGGCAATAAATGTTTGACTTTGATCATTTCATCATGTCTTAAAGAGACGAGGACAGACGAGAAGAATCTGGAATAATAAATAAAAACTAAGGTCATCTCATGTTGACCTGAAATGTTGGCTTCAAAGTGTGCTTTGAGAGTGACCAACCACCAGTTTTACATTTTTTTAGTAAAACCAGTTGAATTATTTTATGTATTTTATCAGATGTCTGTAGCGTCCACCTCGTATTATTAATTATTTAATGCACAACCAGTTAATATTTGCTGCAAATTTCATTAAAATCTGTTTTGTGGTTCATGAGATATTTTGCTGACAGTTACTGACAAAGGTTTTTTTTTAACTCAGTTTACACATTGTGAAAGATTCTCAGCTACTACCACACCAGACTGTAGTTTAATATCCATAAACAGAATGAATTACATGTCAGGGCTGCCCAAGATTAAAATCTATCCAAGGGCTGCAGTAAAATAACACATGAAGTGCAAATACTTCTTAAAGGGATCCATAATGAGTTGTAACATTAGACTTTATACGATAAACATTTACTTTAACTGTAAAATAAAGACTGTAAAATACTGTAGGATGT